TAAAATATGGATTAAAAATCATTAAGAGATAATGAATGTTCATGGATACAATATGACTGAATATTTATTACTCTTATTAACAATTCTCACCTATATGTGAGAATCTATAGCACTTTATAAACACACTCTCAACTGTGTTGGAGGGGCCACTTGAACATAATATAGTGTAGTATTTTTCATATTTGGATAACATATGGATAAATCACTTATAAAAGAAAAATCACTATGGGTCTTCTGTACTTAGTTTTTTTAGTCTGTATAGAGTCAGCAAATTTCTTCTGTAAAGGGCCAAATAATAAATATTTTAGGCTTTGTGGGCCACATGGTCTTTACTGCAACTACTCAACTATGCCACTGTAGGAAGAAAGTGCACAGGCAGTATGGACAAATTTTTCAGAATAAGCATGGCTGTATTCTGAAAACAACCTTTATTTACAAAAATAAAGTTTGGGGTGGGTCAGCCCAAAGGTGTAGTTTGCCAACTCCTGGTCTATAGCAACAAAACTATTCTTAAAGCTTTCTACACTACAAAACCTAACAAATTCACAAACTGAATATGAACCAATGTAATTCAAGTAAATATTCAATTAATATAACTGATATTATTTAACTAAAAAGAAATCTCTGCTTTATAATAGCAAATGTATTACTAATCAGAGGTTTTCACAGTCTATGAAAGGTGTTCTGTGATAATTCAATTCTCTCTTTTCTCCACAGTATTGTGAAACCACTGTAACTATTTGGCTGTCTCTGGCAAGGAAAGAACCACTCTTATTACATACCTTGCTCTTTTCTCAACTTAACAACTTTGATCTATAATAAAACTAGTACTACTTGAAACCAATATCATCTTAAACACAAATACAAATTAGGGCAATGATCTCTCAAGACAATAAAACAAAACAAAAAACAGCAACAAAAACTAGCTGTATTAGCTATGCGACTACTGTACTATGTTCTACACATATATTACCTCATTGATGCGCAAGACAAGCATTGTACCCATTTTACAAGAGAAGGAAACTGAAGCCCAGATCTTAAATAAGTCCAAAGTAACACAGCTAGTAAGTAGCCCAGCCCAGAGATGAACCCTAGCAGACTGGTTCCATATTCTGTGTGCTCTTCACTGTTTTAACATATTTGAATGATCTCTGTTAACATTTTTTAAGATTACTATATAGACTTCTGGACTGTGGCCAAGGATCCTTGCTTGAAAGATCATTTTAAGTGAAGAGAGGAATCAAAGAGATTTGAAAGTGAGAGTTGCAAAGCCAAATTTATGATAAAGGGATACTTAGAAGCATTCAGTTGAGCCAACAAACTGCTGTAAGACATAACATTTATAATGTCTTTCAGTGTTTTTCAGATATATTCAGAATATATGACAGTGAGTTGTGCAAAGCATGACTCACATGCATTTAGCAATGGATGGCCTGAAGTCTTGTCAAATCATTCCTGACCTGTAGTAAAGGTGGACAGTAGCACATTATTTAAATGTATTTGTCTCTATTTGTGAAGTACCTGCAATCTAATTTTTCAGAGTTGGATTTTACAGCAATATTGACTTATTGACTAAAATGTTCACCACAATTCCAACAATGGAGATAGAAACTGCTTGTTTGGAACCACAGCAAAGAAAGAATTCTTTCTTTGTAGTTAAAACTAATCTTGTGTTGTAGCTCTATGTGATGAAATTTATTTCTCTTCCTATTGTTTTTAAGGTTTAGGTAAAATAAAAGGTAACAGAACTAGAAGCTATCACTTAATGTTTGAAGACTTGTTGAAAAGGTTTGTTTTTCATTAGTTTAGGAAGGGCTACCTTCCTCTTCAATAACACAAAACAAGTGGTAATTCTTCAGTCTGAAAATTTTTGCTGTAATACTGAATCACTTACTGGGATCACAAAGTAAATATTTAAACAAACTTTACCCTACTTTTTAATAATAGAAATTACTGGGAAAAAGTTAACCTTTTGTGGTTTGCTAAGAAATTTTTTTGATCTACTACTAAAATGCTTCCTTCTTATTTTGTAAAACAAGTTCTTTAAAAAAAAACCCCAAATATTATAAATTCTGAATGTACAGAATCACAGATAGTGTTAAAAAATTTGTTTTATATAACTTAATGTCTTAAAGTATTTCTAGTGTAAGGGGTAATATTAGTGATTTGATAAAAATTAGATTTTAATACGTTGAAACCAGTCAAAGGGGGTGGTCTTTAGGGTGAAGGAATTTAAACTCAACGCACAGCTTGTCAACCTATATAACATGCTTCAAACCATGAAGGTGGTCACCATTCTTTCCAAGTGTAGTGTTTGGGGAAAATTCTTGAGTGGGAATACATTTCAGTACTAACAACAGAAGCAGAAAGAAAATTAGATTTATTTTGTGGTTTTCCTTTGGTGAAAGTCATGAACTCTGTAAAGTAATGAATAATTGAACACTTTAATGACACAGAGATGCTATTTCAGAAGGAAAATATATACACAAAAACAAAATTGACTGCTAAAAACCAGTAACAAAGAATATAACAATCATTAATTATCATAAACATTTAGAAATGTACACACTTTTGGTGCGTACCTGAATCCTTATTCTAAGGATTTGAAAGCAAGATTGTAAAGATTATGTATTATTTTAATATATCTGAAAGGGGAAGATGATTTAGAGCACAGAAGAATTTTAAAGCTAAAAAAATTTCAGATCTTCTAACTCAGTCTCTTTCAAATTCAGGTGGTAGAGAGATAAAGATCTTTATTCCAGTTCACACAGCTGCTTAGTTACATACAAATGTCCAACCAACTGGCCTATAAAACAAAATGACAGTGCCAGGTGTGGAGGGCTGTAGTCTCAATTACACAAAGTAGGAAAAGGAAGCCTTATGATTATAACACTATTTTTTAAAAAAAGACTAATGATAATGTCTCTTGGGGCTTATTTTGGCGTGAGAGGCACAGACCTTTTACCAGCTCATAGAAAAATGTCTCTAGATTTTTCTCAAAAAAACTCGAACTTTAAAAAAAGAAAAAAATTTTCTCCCCAAATTTTCAAATATGCCCATCTTAGATTATGCTATGCCAAAGAAAAGTAATTAAAAACAAAGTTTCAGAATAAAATTGTTCTAGGTATGAAAGGTTGTTACAGCATACATTAAGACTGATATCTTTTTCCATAACCTTTTTTTCAGCCAGCGAACACCAGTGCCAGAAAGAAAACTGAATAATTTGGTAGTAACTTTTAAAAATGCTAGTTTTAGTTATGCCCATATAGGTCAGTTAAGTGTTCAGGGCCACATACTGGCATGCCTTTTTTAATTTAAAAAAACACAGGTGCAAAAGTAAAAAATTTTAATGACCGCATTCTTTCTAAACGTTTGCCAAGTTCATGCTAAGTGTGCTCTTTGGAAATAATACCAAAGGCTGTACTAAAGTATTCTCATCCCAAGCCTCCTAAAGTTATATCTGACATGTAACAAACTTTTATATAAGTATTTTAATATATCAATATTTCCTGGCATTACTGCAAAGGTAAATCTGGTTTCCCAGAGAAATATTCGCTTAGATAAATTTGAGAACCACTGAACTACCAGAATGGGAGAACTGAAAACTGAGAGGTGGAGAAACTAACCAGGTATAAAATATTACCAAAAACTAACATTTGGAAATAGGAATCTGTTGCGGTAATGATGACATCTGTTTATCCTGCTTAAGTTCTGTTTTGATATCATAGTATCACTTACTCACGTTTCAGTGAAATAGTAATAGAACAATATAGTAAAATAGTCTTCCAAGTAGAATGACTGCAGGTAATTGGAGTAAGAATTTTTTTTTAAAAGTTTGCACTTTCCAGGACTTCAATTTGAAATAAATGAATTAATTACCATATGGTAAACGTCACAAGACTGCAATTTTTATTGGTCTACAGTGGATAAGAAGACTTTTCAGCAGTCCACTTCCCAAAGGCAGAAGGCCTGCGAATTTTCATTACTGAGGTTATAAAGATGTTCCTCAACGTAGGAAAACCGATCACAAAATCTCATGTTCTGGGGTCTTAAATAACAGTCGTAATACATTAAAACTATAAAGAATATTCAGCAGAGAGCATCGTTAACATCGCACAGGCCAAAGAGCCCTCTCAGAAACAAATCTGAAGGGAAAAGTGCTGTGCATATATGTATTTGTACTGTGTGTGTACTCAAGAAAGAAAGGACGAATACGAGAGAGAAAACTGAGACCAGCAGTACAACTGGTTGTGTGGGTAGGGTGGTGTGTAATACTCCTCGAAGGAAAGAAGGCTGCTAGTGGAGGAAGAGCTGCAGATGACTTACCAAAGAGAAGATAAATGTGTGCGCCTGATGTGGTTCTAGGAAAGCTTCTTCCACGGGGTGGGAGTGTTGGTAAGGTCTAGTGAGATAGATTTTTAAAGGGGAGAGCAGGTGACCGCTGTATCCCGAAGGCGTAGCAGGGAGGGCACATTCACATAAACATGTTTGATAAACATTTGCTGTTACGAATGAATGAACATGGATTAGTGAAGCTTTGGACAGAGGAAGAAGGCTTGCGCCTGCAGGTTCTAGGAGAAAAAAGCGTAGAATACGGAGGGAAGGGGCCGAACCCTCAGTGCCGGGAGGAAGTGAGATGGCTACGGGGTTAGCGAGGGCACTGACCAGAGAGAACTCGGTGCCGGGCCAGTTGACTCGGAAAGGGATGTCATCGCTGAGCTGGGGGAGCGCTCGGCCGCCGCCGGAAGCCTCTAGGAGGCCGCAGAGGACCAGTAACACCGGCCCGCCTGGGACCAGACTCCGTGCGCCGCCGCCTCCTCCCTCCATCCTCCGCCGCCGAGCTCTCCAGCCGCCGCCACAACCTCCTCGGCCCACAGAGGAGAGGAGGGGGAGGAGGAGGAGGAGGCGGCGGGACTACCAAGCGCCCAAGCAGCCCGGGGCCCAACCGCCGCCACGTCTCCTTCCGGAGAGCCCGGCAACACCGCCCCCGCCCCCTCGGGCTTCCCGCCACCGTTTCCGGGGCAGGAGGCAAATCAACATCCGGGGCCGCCGGGCCGTCTGCCTACGGAAGCCGAAACACAAGCCAGGCTACTCTCCTCTCCCACAGCCACAGTCTCGCGACGGGGAGCGAACGCAGCGGCCTTCTGGGAGGCGACGCTGGGAGACCAGCCTCGGAGCAGCGTTTTCGGCGGCGGCGGCGAAGTGGCAGCACGAAGAGCCGGTGAGTCCGGAAGGCGGCGGCCGCTCTCTCCCGCCATTCGCGCGGCTCCCCAGCGGTTGGGCGGCGGCTTTGGCGCTGACTGGAGCGGGTAGAAGAGCGTATGAGGGAGGCGGGTGCTGGTTTTCAGATGAAAAAATTCGAGGTAGCCATGAGAAGTGAAAAGTGGCGATGTCTCTGACTGCTCTACTCTATCGCTGCTTTTTCTTTTTCTCCGCACGTAGCCTCTGTCCACTTCGTCTTTCCCGCTTGAAGCTTCTCTCCGCCTCTTTGCTGTGGGCTGTGGTCATCTCAGCACTTACAGCTCCTGACTAACGCGGGAGAGTCGGCTCAGTCTCTACAGCCCCGGGCTCGGGGTGCCCGAGCTGAGGGAACCTGTCATCCCCCAGTATGAAGAATACTGTTTCTCCGAGGGTGGCATGGACGGGGACTCTTCTCGTGGGGAGGACAGCTAGACAGCTCGACCCCTGCCTTTTTACCCGACGTGGGGCTCCTCCTTCATCTCAGAGTTGGGAGTGTTGGGTGGCTGTTTTATCAAGGAATTTCTGTGAGGTTCAGGGCTAGGTGAATGTAAGGTTATGAAGTCACATAAGATTAAGACCCGTCTGATTGCATTCAAGATAACACAGAACGTTTTGGATTCCCCTCCCCCTGTTTAAAAAATGCCAACGTTTTAATTTCCAATATAATGGGCTATATAGTGGTAGCTATAAGGCACCTGTCATTGTCTTTCTGGATGTAGGAAAAGCTAGACCTTCTTGCTAGATCTGCTAAAGATGGACTCCTCCCCACCCCTGGAATTTGAGACACACACACACACACACACACACACACAGAAAATTACTTTGTTCCAGAATTGAGGTGTTGTTCATTAATTAATTTATTAATTTATTTATTAATGCTTAATATGTGCCAGAACACCAGAACACTGGGATTGGTAAATGGCAGATGAATGGGTCTCTGTCCTCTGTCTCTCATGGTCTAGCAAGAGAGATTACGCAAATAATAGTAACCTATTGTGGTAATAATAAAGTAGCTAGCATTTATATAACATTTACTGTGTGCACTAGTCTAAGTACTTTTTATGTATTATGAGGCACATGCTATATAGATTATACAGAAGAGGGATGTTAAGAGTGGAGATATAAAGAAGGGCAGGGATTGAATGGGAAAGGCTTCCCAGAAGAGGCGATGTTAGAACTGGGGTTTTATAACTTATGGTTGACAGGGGGAAAGGGGGTGGAGAGGGATAAATTGAGAGTTTGGGATTTGTAGATACTCACTACTATATATAAAATAGATAAACAGGGTCCTACTGTGTAGCACAGGGAACTATATTTAGTATCTTGTAATAGCCTATAAGGAAAAAGAATACGAAAAGAAATATATACATAAATGAATCACTATAATGTACAACAGAAATTAACACAACGTTATAAATCAACTATACATCAGTTAAAAAAATTTATTTTAAAGTTTGCCAGCAACCACCGGCAGCTGGGAAGAAGTAAGGACAGATCCTCCCCTGGAGGTTTCAGAAAGAGCATGGCTCTACTGACTCCTTGATTTCAGCCATCTAATCCCCAGAAGTGTGAAGCAATACATTTCTATTGTTTTAAGCTACCTGATTTGTGGTAATTTGTATGGCAGCCCTAGGAAACTAACATAGGAGGCAAATGTGGCAAAAAGGAGACCAATAAGGAAGCTGGTAGTGGTGTAGATGGGGAGAAATGGCCTGAATTGTAATGTATTTTTCACATAGAGCATCTTGAATTTGCTGGTAGGTTAGATGTGGCACATTCTTTTTTTTTTTTTTTTAATAGACTTTATTCTTTTAGAGCAGTTTCAGGTTCACAACAGAATTGAGCTGAAAATATCGAGTTTGCACATAGCCCTCCTCACCCACACATATATACTCCCCTACACTCAACATCCCTCATCAGTGTGGCATATTTGGTACAATTGATGAACCAACATGGGCGCATTATTATCAACCAAAGTCCATAGTTTACATTAGGGTTCATTCTTGATGTTGTACATTCTATGGGTTTTGACAAATGCGTAATGACATGTAGCCACCACCATAGTATCATACAGAATAATTTCATTGCCCTAAAAATCCCTTGTGCTCCATCTATTCATCCCTCCCCTCCACCTCCCCAACCCCCTGGAAACCATGATCTTTTTGTTGTTTCTGTAGCTGTGCCTTTTCCAGAATGTCATTTGGTTGAAATTACACAGTTGGAGCCTTTTCAGACTGGCTTCTTTCATTTAGTAATATGTCTTTTAAGTTTCTTCCATGTCTTTCATGGCTTGATAGATCATTTCTTTTTTAACTGAACATATATTTTTTAATTTACATATATGTATTGTTCGTTGTTTCTAAGAATGTTTAGACCTTTAGCTTTTTAAACTTACATAGTTATCAAAGAAATAAAGCCAGCCACAAAATAAGAATTAATTCAAAAAGATAATACACCCTGCTTTTAACAGCAACATTGTTTATAACTGCCAAGATATGGAAGCATCCTAAGTGCACATCAGTGGTTGAATAGATAATGAAGATGCAGCATGTATTTATATATGTAATGGAATACAACTCGTTCATAAAAAAGAAGGCTATTTGGCAATTTGTGGCTCTTCATTCACTTTTTATTTTCACTTCAAAAACCAGAATTTTATAACTGGCAGAGACATTTCCATTACATCAAAAACAACAAAATACCTGGAAATAAACTTAACCAAGGTTACCTATACTCTGAAAACCGAAATGACACAAAGAAATGGAAAGACTTCTTGTGCTCTTGAATTGGGAGAATTAACACTATCAAAATGGCCACACTACCCAAAGCAATCCACAGATCCAGTGCAACCCCCATCAAAATACCCGTGACATTCCTCACAGAACTAGAACAAACAGTTCCAAAATTTATAAGGAACCACAAAAGACCCTGAACAGACAAAGCATTCTTTTGTAGGACTCTCTTTTTTTTTTTCTCTTTCTTCTTTTTGTTCTCTTTTCTTACGGTTTGATGACTAGAGAAGATCCTTTAACATTTGTTGTAAAGCTGGCTTGGTGATGCTGAAATCTTTTAGCTTTTGTTTATCTGTGAAGCTTTTGATTTCTCCATGAAGTCTGAATGAGAGCCTTGCTGGATAGAGTATTCTTGGTTGTAAGTTTCCCCCTTTCATCGCTTTAAATATATTGATGTGGCACATGGCACATTCTTACAGAGATGAATTAATGATGATGTTTAGATATGTTTTATGAGGATCTAGTGGTGCAGTTTTCTGAAACAAGGAAGAACAGAATGTGGACTGATGGGAACTGTGTTTTTGTTTGTTTGACTCTATTTTGAAGTGATTTCAAACTTACATAAAAGTTGCAAGACTCAAACTTAGATTCCCCAGTTGTTAACATTTTACATATGTGATTTGATTACTATAATTATAATTTCTGAATCAAGCGTTCTGTTTTTGATACGTTAAGCATTAGATATCAGTTAGACATTAAGTGGAGCTAACGAGTTAGTTAAGTAAATCTGAAGCTCGGGGGGACGTCAGGGCTGGAGTTGTAAATTTTGGCATTATCAGCATGTGGATATAGTTAAAACCATGGTACTGGTTGAGATCATTTAGGGAACAAATAATGGTAACAAAGGGAAGCTAAGGGTCATTGCAACATTAGCTACTGAACAGCAGTAAAGACTTAATGAAACAGACTGGAAAGATGTGCCCATGAAAGCCGAAAGATATCAGGAAACTGAGATATTAAGGAAGTCAAGAGAAAGGAGGTAAGAAAGTTTCAAGAAGGAGGTAATGACCAGCCAGCTGAATCAAGTAAATGCTGCTGAGTAGTTGTAAAACTTGCGAATAAGTAACTACTGGATTGGCAGCATGGAGGAAGGGGGGGGGGAAGCTTGATTGGATTGGGTTGAGGTAGAGGGCTTGTTTATGTGTAAGTTATACTAAAAACATTATGTTTTTGCATTTCAGTGGAGTATAGACCAGAGTTTCTTGGCACTGTTGACATTTTGGAACAGATGATCCTTTGTCGTGAGGGGCTATATTGTGCATTGTATAATGTTTAATAGTATCCCTGGCTTGTTTCCACTAGATGCTAGTAGGATGGGTCACCCCCTCCCCCATACCCCCAAGTTGTAACGACTAAAAATGACTGCAGACATTGCCAAATGTTCTTTGGCAGGCAAAATGGCCCATGGTTGAGAACCACTAGTTTAGATTCTTAAATGAAAGGCATGACTGTTCCTGCTAAAGTTTTAGACATTAGTGTGAAGATGTTTAGGGGCAAGCAGGGGACCTTTCTAGCACTCCAAGAATTTTGTGCTGTAGTGTATATCTACTTTGCCTGTAATGCTAGTGGTCTTATTTTATCTTTGATGATTCATAATGAATCTTACCTTGCACTGTCATTATTATGCGCATTAGTTATCATCATAGAGAATTTTGAATGTAAATACATAGAAGATGTGCCTGCATATTTGTTCTATACTGTAGATTTCTCTGCATTGTCTTAATCCTCAGTATAATCCCACCTGCTTTTTCTCTTCCAGATTAAATGAATTAATTTCAGTGGGATTTTGGTAGGAAGTGGAAGAAAATTCATGTGCTTATTTTGTCTTATACAGAGTAGATAATTCATAAGCATTTGTTAAGTAAATCAATTAGTACTATTGAGAAAATTGGATAAAATATATTTCTTTTTAAATTTAAAAAAATTATGGCTGTAGGATGTGGGTAATTAAATGAATCCTTTTTCATATATTGTGTTTTTTTTTCATTCTTTTAATTTTATTATGTTTTAGGAAAGAATCTCATTGGGGTTAAAATTTACCAGTGGAGGTACAAAATAAGAAAGCTGCTATCTCTCACTTTTTTTTTCCCCCAAATTACAGGTCTTAATTCCATTTTGTTCCTTTTTAGTGCTTAGCACTGTGCCTGGCATGTTGTAAGTATTCAGTGATAGTTACTATTTTTATGTT